AAAATGTTTTATACATATTTATGTACCATCTACACATATTTACATTACTATTATAAGGAATTCTGTGAAATTTTAGTTTTTAATAATAATTTATTTTTTAAATCTTATTTGCTTACTCTAAATTGTTTAATTATTTAAATATTTAATTTTGTTAAAAATACTCACAAATACGTACCTAACTATATTAAGTATATTATTTAGATATCAATAATTTTTCGTAATAATTAACTCGTAGATAAACTTAGATGTATACTACATCTATTTAAAAATTTTATTCACTCAGATTACCTTCACTTTAAAAATTTATTTAAATTAAAAAAATTTCTATTTTTCTGTAATAGAGAATTCGATAAATATTCGGCAAAATATAGTTAATATTTTTTGTAATTTAAATTATTATTAAAAAAATTTTTAGAAATAAATTTAAATAATCTAATTATTTAAGTTATATTATTTTTATTATGGCTCCAAATTCGGAAGGATTAAAAGTTAATTTAAATTTACGAAGTAATAATTTAAATTTAAATATTTTTGTAGAATGTATTAAATGAATTGGGAAATACTATCGAATTTCGAATTAATGGTATTCCTTATAATGTCGAAAATGTAATTTTTTTGGATAGAAAAAAAATTTAAAAAATTTAGGTCGAACCTGAAGTAACTGAAGAAATTTTTCAAGGATATAATGATTGGCAACGGGATAACAATCAAGATGTAAGTTAATAAACAATAATTTGGTTTTTTAAAAATTTTAACTTTTCCTAAATTAATTAATATTAGAAATTAATTTTAATTAAAAAAACTATTTTTAGAATAATCAAAACAATGAAAATAATGTTGTGGAGGGAAATGGACAAGAATTAGGTAAATAATTTGGTTGTATGTATGTTTTTAATAGTTTAATTTAAAATAAAAATATATTGAAATTTTAATTATTTTTAAATAAAAAAATATCTAAAAATACTTTCCATTAATGTTTTTATTAAATACATATTTTTCTAAATTTAGTAGCAATTGAACAAGGAAATGGTAATGATAATGCTGGTGATCCTGCAGATGAACCAGAAGAAAATGTAAATTTAAATTATTTAAATGTTTAAAGGTCTTACCGTTCATTCTAAATTAATTGTTCATGGCAATAATTATTTCGCTTAGTTGAAGTGGTAGGGGTGGAATAAAGAGAGAGGGAGTGAGCAATTAATTAAGAAAATTTAATAAAGTAAAATTAAATATTTATTTAGATTGGATTTGAAAATTTGACAATTGATGAAAAATTGGGTAAAATATTTATGGAATGCCGAAAATTGAAAAAAGAAGTAAAGGAATGCAAAAAGACAATTAAAACACTTAAGTCGGATATAAGCAAATTAGAGAGTGAAAATAATAAAATAAATGAAGAAAAAGAAGAATTATATAAGAATTTTTGCAAAACAAATGCGGCATGTATAAAATATAAAAAGGGCACAAACACAGGGTTCGGTTCTTTTATTGGAGGTGGTTTTGCGGTTGTTATACCTCTTCTTCTGAAATACATTGGTGTGGCAAGCTTGTTTAGTTTTCCTGTGGGTGGCCAGATGTATGTGGGATTTACAATTTTTGGCGGAGTGGTAGGTGGAATTATTGGAAGGATGTGTACTAGTAATAAGCCAAAAATTTCAATCAAAAAATAATTTTGGGGATAAAAAATAAATTATTTTTTCTAAAATAATTTTATTCTTGAGATTTTTGGCATATTTTAAATAAAATCAAACATTATCTAAATTTTAAGAATATTTTTCTCTTATTTAAAGATTAATTTATAATTTTTTAAAAATGAATTTTTAATTTAATTCCAATTTATCATGTTTTTTCTGTTATTTTAAAAATTAATTAATACATCTATTTACTAAAATAATTTTTAACAAACAAAATCTTCATGCTTTTATTATTTAAGTATTCTTGCTTTTTTAAATTTTAATTACTTTTTAAGAAATTTCGTATTTATTTTTAAATAATTAAACCACCACTATACATACCAGAGTTAGGTCGGAATTTCGATTTCCGACGTTTTCTCATTTCCGATTTCCGAAAAAAATTTTGATTTCGATTTCTGAGTTCCGACTTTTGAGCCAGTTCCGATTTCCGGCTCTTCCGATTTCCGACCCATTTCGGACTGTTCCGACCCACTTCTGATACATACATAATATTTCTTCTAAAGTATAATTCACCCACAAAAGAATTTTCGGAAAAAGGAAAAAAATTTTGAGTGTTAGAGATATTTTGACCTTTTTTAAGGTCAAAACAAGCTTTTTTCCCCCTTTAAAATAAATCGTAAAAAATCTCCAAATAAATTTTAGAAGAAATAGTATGTATGTTAAAATATAAATGGAATTATGTTACTTACATATATCAATTAATTTTAAAATTAATAATAATTATTATTCTAATTAATTTATGTTTAAATTTCATTAATAATATTTTAAAAATATTTTATATTTCAAGAAAAATATTAAACAACAAATTTAAGCTAATATTTTATTCAGTCCAGATTTCATATATACTTCATTTTTTTCATAATAAATATGGAGGAACAGGAAGGTTAAATTTGAATTTAAAATTTCTAATTTTTAAAATCAAAATTTTGGAAATTTTTTATCATAATATAAGAAGTTTATTATATTAAAAATAGTTTAATAAAATTTAATAATTATAGAAACAATTGAAGTACTTAAAAAGAAGATTGCAGAGAAGGAACATATTATTACGGTTTTGGAGCTAAAAAGACTTGAAGGAGAAGAAGTCCTTAATCAATTAGAAAATGAGAAAGAAGAACTTGAAGAGCTTAATAAAAAGATGAAAAAAGCTTTAAAGAAGGAAGCTAAACGAAGATTCGCAATTATTCGTTATGGTCTTTTCGGAGCTTTTTTGTGTAGTTATAGCTATTGCTTCTATATGCTACATAAAAATAACAAAGAAAAAGATATTCTACCAAATTACATATTGCTTATTGGAGGAGGAATGTTTGGAACAATTATTAGATTTGTAAAATATGAATGATAAGAAAAATAATAATGTTTTTGTATTTTAATAATTATTTTAGTTGAATAAATAAAAACATTTTAATTTTTAATAAATTGTAAAAATTATTTTTTCTAAAGGTTTAAAATTAAAATAATTTATTAGGGAACGATCAAAATTATTTTTAAGAGAGTTTTAAGAAATTATCAAACTAACTGAAAATTAACTGTTTAATTTAAAAATTATTGTTCTAAATTAAAAGAAAAAATTCAATAATGTTGAAAAATTTTTGATTTTGAATATATAAATTAGAAAATTTAAATTTGATTGTAATTTGATTTAGGAAATAATATTTTTATATCCTGTAAATTGTGTAAAAACATACGATGAAAGCTTTCTAAACATTTCCTTAGTCCTCAATTGGCATATTTCTATTACATATGTATTATTTAGAAAATTCGAATTAGGGGGGGGGGTATTTATAAAGTTTTTGTTATTTTCTGGATATTTATTGAACTTTTTTCCTTCTATTTTTATTCAAATAAAATTTTTGACGGAATTTGTTTGTGGTTAAAAGATAATTTTTCGTTTGTGGAAATCCTTTCTTTTAAATAATTGATAAAAAATTTTCATTTAAAATAAATTTATTCAAAAAATTAATTTTTATATTTATTTTATTGGAATTTAAATTTTTATAAATAAACTATAACTTATATAAAAAACCTATAACTTATATGTCTAAATGATACCCTGTATTTTTATAACCAAATTTCATATAGTGAATTTTTTTCAGCACCAATAAGCTATTTGAGGTTTGACTATATGAAAATCATCTTCATTTAATTCATTTGAGGCAGCCTTTATTGTTCTTATGTAAGCTCAAAGCAGAAACGAGAATGAGATTATGAGCATTAAATTTGGATTAAAATAAGCGGTTGCTGATTTGAAAATCAAATTTTTAAAGGACATTTCTTCTCATTACTCATTTAATCAAAATATTTAAAACACAAAAATTTTAATAAAAGTTGCAGGTGGAAGATTGGAAAAAGGAATAAATATTTTTTGAATAAAAAATAGAAAAAAACATTTTAAAACATTTTATGTAAATTAAGGTGAAAGATTAAAATATAATTTAAAAAAAGAATTATTCACACAATTTTATGTAAAAGTTAAAACAATCCTTCTCACATACCGATATTATCTTTTAAATAAAAAATATTTTAAAAGTTGTTATAAAGTTTAGATAAATGTTTTTACACATAAAAGTAAATTAATTTATTTATTCGAAATAAATTCTCTCTACCTATCATTTTCATTATTCTCAAATCTTTATTTAATTTTATTTTTAGTAATTAAATAAAATATTATTTTTTATCAAAACTTTTTCTAATTATTTTTATTTTATTCAAAGAAATTATTAAAAATTTTTTAAAACTTAAACTTGTTTTAACTTTAAAAAAATAATCCGATTATAGTTTTTAAATTTAACAAAAAATCAAATGTTAACACTTCCTTATTTCTCATTATTAGAGACCAGCGCGGGACGGGATCCCGACGGGATTTTCCGGGATCCCGATCTCGAATTCTCCGATATTTTTGAGATTCAGGATTTTTGAAATTCGGGATTTTTTCGGGATTTATCCGTCGGGATTCCGTCCCGGCATCGGTTAAGAAAAAAATCTCGACTCGGGATTCCGGAAGTGCGATTTTGCCGGTCTCTACAATTATATAAAGCAATTCCTAAATTTAAATTCTCACTAAATTCTATTATATTTTAAAGGAAAATTCTACATTTGGATTGTAGCATGGAAGCTAATTGAAAATATAGCAGACTAAAATTTTCAGTCAAATCTTACACTCAAACCAAAATACCTAATATACAAATTTCTTTATTTATCAATAAGATCTACTATTTTTGCTTTTTCGTTATTTAAAATTTTTTTACAAATTTTTTTAAAATTTAATTACACATAAATTTCTTTCTTTCATAGAAATTAAATATTATTCAAATTTTTAAAATATTTATAATTATTAAAAATGCCGCCAAATACAAATTTTACTAAAGTAAGTTAAAAATTAATAACTAATAATTTAAAATATTTTTAAAATTAGTTAAATAAAAATTAATTTTATAGGAAGAAATCATGTCAATTAGGAGAAATTTACAAGGATTAATTGAAATGATTGATGAAGAAGTGGAGGATGTAAGTATATATGCTTATTTAATATTTAATAATCTAAAATTTAAAGGAAGGTATTGAATTTACAATCGAACAGCAAGAGGGAATAAAAATTAAAGTACAGAAGAAACTTGAAGAGGCTACCAAAAAATCTAAAGCTTTTGCTACTTTCTTAGGGTCACTTGGAGGTATTGTTGGTAGTGGTGCCTTGGTTGTTGGCTGTTCTTTTATTTATAGTATTCCGTTTTTTGGACAAATTTTGTTAGCTGCAACAGCTCTAGGTGCTTTAGTTGGTGGGTATGCGGCAAATAAATTAACTTAAATAATGAGAAAATATTTAAATGGAAATTAAAATTTAATTTTTTTATTCTAAAATATATTAATTTTTAGCAATTAACAAATGTTCTTAAAATTTTAATAAAACAAGGAATTTAATGTATTTTTAGCCGAAAATTAATTTTAAATTAATTATATTTAAAATTGCATCAAATTTACTTAATCTAACGGATAGTTCTTACCTCAACGATTTTCTTTCCTTTTTTTAACTGCTTTTATTTTAAGACTACCTAATTTTCGGCTAAAATATAAAAAATATTTTATAATATTTATAATAAATTTATTTATTTTTATCTAAACTTAATTTAATAAATTGTTAATTTTTTTTTAAATTATTCACTTAAATATTATTTTATTTAAATAATTACATAAAAAATTTATTTAAAAAAATTATTAAATAATAACAGTATAGTTATTAGAAAATTCTAGCTATAATTCAATTCTAATTATCAAAATACAAAATATGGGAGAAGATTCAGGTAGTTAATATTTTCTAAAAAATATATTTATCATTTCAAATTAAATTTATTTTTTTAAAGAAATTGAAATTAAAAGAAAAATAGAAGAAGCTATTCATCGTTTAATTGTTATAGAACAAAAAAATTTACAAAGAGAAGAAGAAGCAATCATGAAAGAAAATTTAAATGCTCAAATTTTGGAATTTGAGAGAAAATTAAAAATAATTCAACAAAAAAATAAAGAAACAAAATTATTTATGTTTATTGGCTCTATTTATGGGACAATTAGTGGAGGAGTTATCTATGGAGTTAATTGTTTATATAATGAAGAAATTGATTTAGAAAAGGGAGGAATAATAATATTTGGAAGTATTCTAATTGGAGCGTTAATTGGTGGATTAACTAGTAAATATAGATAAATATATATGGAAATTTTATTTTTTTAAAATATTTTAAATTATTTTAAAATTAAAAAAAGTGTTTGGAGAAGAATTTTCTTTAAAATACCTATTAATAGAAATTTTTAAAATTTGTTAATAAAATTCAAACACTTTTTAAATTTATTTAATATTTTATTTTTAATTAAATATTCACATTTTATTTTTATTTGTTTTTTATTCAATAAATAAAATAATAAATTAAAATTTAGATAAATTTATATGTACATAAATTTAGCTTTATCTGAAATATAATTTAGAAATTTATTTAAACATTAAATAAGATCTATTATAATTTTGGAATTTCTCTGAAGTAAATATGTATTAAGTATAGATACATATTTTACAATATGTATTAAGTATAGATACATATTTACTAATTGTTGTTTGTTGATTCCCAACAATTAAAAACATTATACGATACCTAGTAAAAGCCTCTTAATTGAAAAATTAAATAAAACTTACTTGATTTAATAATTTAGAACAAAATGTTCAAAACTTATGCACATTACTGTTGATTAAATTAAAATATCTAAAATGGGTAGTAACAGGCTGGACATTTCCGTATTTTAAAAAGCGGGAGACAGAGAAAAAGGCGGGGAGAGCCCATTCTTGTTATGTTAAAACTCTCCGATTCTACCCTAAACTTTTATCCGTTTTGTGCTTTATACATTGTAAATATGCCCTTTTAAAATTTATTTTGAAATTATTCACATGCTATTCATATAAGGACTTTATTAAATACCTAGACGGACAAAATATTCAATAAATGCACTTGTCGGCTTTTTTGATTCTTTATAGTTTAGTTTTTACTAAATTTATTTTTACATACATACATATTATTATTATAATTTAGAAATTAAAATAAATAATGAAATTTATTTTTATATTATTATTTATATTATTACCAGTATCTTCTATTCAAAAAATTTTTGAAGGTATTTTATTTAAATAAATTTATTTAAAAATAATTATTTTATTATTAAAATAGTAGTAAATACATTTAATTATTTTTCATAAATTTATTTAGACATATAAATATATTTTTAAATTATTTTAAGAGAATCTTTTATAGAATATTGTATTAAATTTGCTAAAGTAATTAATACTACATATAATTAATTTAAAAATTAATTTTTTTCCCTAACTCAAATGATAACCAAAAACAAATAAAAATCAGAAGTTAACTTATAAATACTTAATTAAATTTAAAGTTATGCCTTCATTAATCGCTCACAATATTTTTTATTTCAACCCAAGTTCAGACACTATATTAGAGGGAATTATTTATCAATATTATTATGAATTTATTATTGAAAATAATATAAACTCAAAATGGAAATTAATGGTTATATCACAAATATTTTATCATAGAGTAATAGAAGATAACTATTTATTTAAAGGGTATAAAATTAATATAAAAATACTTTTAATTCCTTGGGGGATAAAATTAATTTTTGTCTAAAATAACTAAGGTCTGTCAAGGTAATATATCATCGGATATTGGAAGAGGGGAAGCTGGAACTAGCCCAAATGACTTTTTATTAATTTTTTGTAATTCGAAAGACGGAACTCGGAATCCCGACAGACTCCTGATATTATTTAAAAATTTAGTAAAGCTACCAAAAAATAAATTCTAATTTAAATTTACAAATAAATATATTTAGAGTATTTCTTCGAAGAAAACTTTTAAATAATAATAAATTGGGTGCTTGTGCCGTAATTGCAATGAAAATGAATTTTATTAAACACAAAACTAATTTGGATGATTATTCTTTAAATTTAATATGTAAAGGAGAAAAAATGGATAAAATAATTTCTAAACATTTAATTATTTTACAAGAAACAATTTATAATTTAACTTCAAGTTTATTATCAAATAAAAAATTGGAAGAATTAAATATATTATTAAGTTATTATTATAAAGAATATCCACAATTAACAACTAATAAATTAATTGAATTATTTGGATATATCCGTTTTAATTATTTTCGTTTTTCATTGCCAGATATTTTTGGAGAAATAAGTTTGTTTAGAATTTAAATTAAATAAAAAAACAAAATTAGGGTACACCCCCAGGACATCGATGAGCTCTAATTTCGCTCAGAATTGTCAATACGATTCGATGCGCCTCTACAAGCTTAATCGAACCTTGCCAGGGTGCCCAGGATTTAACAATTCTGAACAAAGTTATAGCTCTGCGGTACCTTAGCCAACTCCCACAAAATTGTTAAAAAGAATTTTAAAAATAAAATTTATTTTTGAATAAAAATATTTAATAATTTAAAAGGTATTGAAGAGGAAAATTCTTTAATTGTTTATTTTTACGGCCAATACTTTACTTCAAATATGATTGAAAAATGGAGAAGCAGAAATTTACTTGATTATTTATTTTACAGAAAAGTGAAGATTTCAGATAAATGTAAAATAAATTATTTTTTTAAAAATTTTCTTTTAATATACAAAAGTAAATACAAAATATTCTTCTAAATAAGTACATTCTATCAATTCTTTCCATAATAAAGAATTTTTAATTAAAATTTAATTGTGTAAATAGCAGTTTCCCAGTGGTTGAACGGGTAACACCAAACATTGCATCGAAGAGCTTATGTACATGATTAGGTCCCATCCAATTTTCTATTATTTTCTGTGATGAGTTCGGCCCTTTTCTAACAAAAAAATAATTCTAAATAATTTAGTAGTAGATGAATGTTGGAGAGAAAGTTTGAATGAATTTTTAAAAGGCTTAATTTATATTGAATTATCAGTTACAAAATTTAAAATAAAACCAGAGGAAGGAGTGGAACAATTTAAGGTTTAATGTTTTTAAAATATTTTAACAAAAAAAATTTAAAAAAGATGGGGTAAATACAGTGTGCGTCATAACTATACGTCCACTCAAAATTTTGGATTTTATCTCTATGTCCATGTCAGATCGTATTAAAATTAATTGAGTTTTGGCATAAATGTTTAAAAATAAAAATTTGTTGAATATATATTCGAATGCTTATTTAAGCTAGTAAGAATAGGATCATTTTATTCCCATTTAATACTTATATTTTAATTAATTTTATCGCGATTTAATGTGATAAAACCCAAAATATTTAGTTATAACGGGCATTGTATATTTTTTAAACTCCCCCATTCTTTCCAAAATAATTAAAATATTTTTTATTCAAAATTAAAGAGATGGCTAACTAATCCATATCTTTTTGCACAAATACAATTATATTCAAACAGAGGAAAATTTTTATTTTATGTAAAATTATGTGCAAATAATTTAACAAAAATAAATAAAAAATTAAAAATACAGAATAAAAAAGAATTAAAAAAGAAGCTTGTAGAATGTATTGAATATAAATTAAAAAATAAAGAAGAAAATAAAAATATTAAATTTAATGAATTTCATGTGGGAAACTTAATTAATATTATTAATGAGGGGGATGTTGATGCTAAATTATTAATTAAATTAATTGAAAGAGCAGAAGGTTTACATATTTTAAAGGGAAATTTTTTTTAAAAATATTTATATAGTTTATATTTAAAAATTTTTTAAATTAAAATTTATTTTGTTGACAAATACATAAAGAATGAAAAAAATTTTAGATTAAAGCAATCTAAAAAATAAGGCAAATCTAAAATACTAAAAAAAATATTTTTTTATTTTTATTTTTACCAAAAATTAATAATTTTGAATTTTTAAGATGAGCAAGTCTTAATTTTAACTGATTATTCAAAAAAGGAGTTGTTGAAGAAAATTAATGGAAAAAAGTTGAAGTCTTCACCAAATTTGGATTTTGCTTCGGTAAAATTTTTTAAAATAAATCATAAAAATATTTTTTTTGAATAAATTAAAGACTTCAAATTCTGAAATTAATTTTGAAGAAAACAAAGAAATTATTGAAGAAAAGGTGGAAGGAATAAAAAAAGAAAATAAGGAAATAATTAAACATAAAGAAATTGAAGAAAAACAAATAAATAAAAATAAAACTAATTTATTTATTTCTAACAATGAAACAAACAAAAAAAGTTTGTGAATTTAACTAGGGTTGCTAAAATAGACCAACTCGGACCGAAATATCGAGTCGGGCCTAGATGTTTGGACCGAAAAAGACTCGTACTGGCCCGACTCGAAAACGGCAACCCTGAATTTAATAAATAAAAATATAGGGAAATAAGGGATTTTGGATTTATTTTACTTAAAATAATTTTTGGTGGTGACAAAAGTGTATGTACCTATGTATGTGAAGACATTCCCGTAGGTCTGTGGTTTTATGTACACAGAATCTGCAGGCAATTTGATAAGCTTCCTGATTAAATTTTAAAAATTCTATTCAAAAGTCTAACTTAAAATAGAGGAATAAAAAGATAAATTAGTGATTAGATTTTACTATTATTATAATATAAATATTATCTTGTATTTTTAAATATTTTTAAATAATATATTTTAGCAAGACTTCACAAATCGAGTACAAATATTGCCAAAAATTTAAACAAAGTTTCAAAGAAAAATCAAAAAGTTTATGAAAAACAAGAAGGTAAACAAAGATGTAAATGTATGTATGGGGATACGGCCGACCCGATTCAGGAATTACGAAAATTATCGTTAATTCAAGGCAGTATCCCTATATATGCACATTCATATTTACAATTTATTTTCAATTCTTTTAATTTTTTAAATTCAAAATAATTTTTAGTCAGTCAAAATATTAGTAAAGAAATTTTGGAAATGGTAATTAATTTTTTTGAAGATTTGGGTCTTTTTAAAATTAATTGGGACACAAAGGAAAATATTTTTAATATGAATACAAATAAATTTATTAAAGAAATGTTGGGAAAAGAAAATAGAAAAAAATTTATTGAAGCTATAAATTTAGAAAAAAATTTGAAAGGAAATGAAGAAAAACAAAAAGAAAATATTTTTACAGAATTAATTTTTAAACAAATTGTTGAAAAAATTGATTTTAAGGAAGAAGAAGAAGAAGAATTAAATGATGAACAAAAAACAAATTTATTTGCTTGGGAAATTTATTGGATAACTTGCAAACTTTATCACTTATTTGATAATAATGTATATGAGGTAATGTTTTTGATTTTGGGAAGAAGACATTTAAATGTTTCTTGGTGTGAGAGGTTACTGAGTTGATTTTAATGATAGTAAAGCAGAGCTGGCTATAGTTATTTCTCTCCTTTAGGTAGTGCAAAAGGTTAATCTGCGGCTGGATGCGAACCAGCATCTTCAGTAGACCGGACTGATGTGTTAGCCATTACACTACGTCGCCTACTGATTGTAGTTGAAGACATTAGTTTGAAATAGGGTTGCAAACTCGCAATAACCCACAACCCAGACATTCGATGAAAAAATTGCTATTTAAAAAATTTATGTTTAGGGAAATTACTTACGTTTTGTATTTTAAAAGTTTTACTTCCGTCCTATTTTTATCAGATCTACTAATTTCATTAATTTTTTTCCACTAATATTTTTAAATTATTTATTTTTGTTAATATTTATTAACCTTTATTTATATTTATAAATTAAGGAAATTAATCTTAAAATTAATATAAATAAATTGAAGAAGAATTTGAAAGAAGTAAATGAGAAATTAGTGAAACTTTTTAGGTAAAATCAAAATAAATATTTTTTTTACTAATTTTTATCTCATTTTAAGTAAATCGGAAGAAAAACAAATTTTAGAAAATTTCCAAAAAGAATTTATTGAGGAATATAATAAAATAAAAAAGAATTAAAAAACATTCTATACATATCACATCATAATTTAAATAAAAATACCTAATATTTGTATTAATTCAAAGAAAACGTGGATTTATTTGAAGTTTTTCATTTAAATAATTTTACAAACAAATTGAGGAAATAGAGGAATTGTTATTTTTATTTAAATTCATTTATTTTATTAAAATATTTATTTTTTAAAATAAAAATTGTTAAAATCTATTAATGCATAAAAATATTTTAAAAAATATTTTGTTATGTTTAATTACTTATTTTGTTGTTCGGTAAGTTTTTATCTTTTTATTTATATATTTAATTTGTTGAATAATTAATTAAAATTTTATTTATCTAATTAATATTTTTAAATTGTCAAATTAAATTATATTTATTTTTAAATTGTTTGATTAAAAAATAAAAATAATTTATTTACAGGATTAACTCCTACTGTGAAAATGGTAATTTAAATATACCTAATTATTATTTAAATTTTTTATGAATTTATGAGTAAATATTAGTGCGCGGCACCGGACCTGATCCGGCCTGATTTTTCCTGAGTCCGGATCCCAAATCCGGGCTTTTTCGTGATCTCCGGATTAAAACCGGACCGGATTAATCCAGAAAAATCCGGTCAGGCATGAGTATGAAATTCAAAATCTGGTTTCCGAGCCCGGAAATATCTCAATTTTTTAAAAAACATGTAATTCAATTAAATATAGACACAACATTGCCCGAATTAAAAACTACAACAACAATCCAACCAACATTATTAACAACAATAATTAAACGGTTTTGTCTGCCGAATGAAATTTTTGTTGAATGTACAAAACCTTCTTGCGAACCAACATGCCATACCGTCTTTAATCAGACCACTCCGTGTTATTCAGTCTGCGGTCCACCTGGGTGTCAATGCAAACCGGGAACTGTTCGGTCGGGCAAATATTGTATTAGGACTAATTTTTGTCCTGGAGGTTAGTTTATTTATTAAAAATATTATTTGACATCTTTATAAGGATTTTTAAGTGTTCATTACAAATTAAAATGTTAATAAATAAAAATTAAGTATCGAGAATTTCCTCCCTCCGTTTGTATTTTCTATACTAGGGTTGGGGTTCGAAATATCCATAAAAATTAATTTGAGAATACTATTGATATTACCTAAATATCAGTAAAAAATTAATTTTAAAGATAAAATCTAAAAAAATAATTATTTTAAGTTTGCTGCAGTATAACCAATCCACAAAAATGTATTATCTGTCCAAAAAATACCTTGTGCAGTCTTGACGATAAAAGAGTTAATTTCTGTAAAAATGCAAAATGACACAAATGCTGTATAAAGCAAGAATGAATATAAATTTTAAATAAAAATAAATAAATTGTAAAATGTTAATTATATTTATTTTTTATAAAAAATGTTATTTATGTCTACGATTTATGTCTACGATATGTTAGCCGGATATGCATACCAAAATCCATGTCCATTACCAAGTCAATTTTAGAAATCATAAACTTCCGTTTGTATTTTCTACACTAGGGAGAGGGGGGGAGGGTTTAACTCTTAAGAAAACCCGACAATTTTGACAAAATGTTTGGCAGAATCGAGATAGCAAAAATAATTCTCAGTAAAATACTCACGTTTTAATTATTTATTTAATATTATATTTTATCATGAATATTTTTTGTTTTTTATTGTTTCCAAGGCAACATTAAAATATACTAAATAAGAAGATGATTTTATTTTTACATATTTATTTAAAATAATTAATCCATAAAAAAATTTTTCAACTGAATAAATATAATACATATTCTCTATTTATCTTATTAATTTTTTTTGAAAATGAGAAAACTTCTCCTTGCATTTTTTGTTTTATATTCTTCATTTTTGGTATTATTTTTTGCTCTATATTTATCCGAACTTGAAGGAGTTGGACTTTTTTGGAATAAAGAAATTAAAGAAACGAAAAAAATTTAGAAAATTAATTTAATTTATTTATTAATTCTTTTCTTGCAAAAATTAAAATAAATAAATATTTTAAATATTCAAAATTTAATCTTTAATGTTTTAATAAAAATTAAGAAAAAGCATTTTTTATGTAAAAGTTAAAAATAAATATAATTTTTATCATAAGATATAATAAAATATATTTTTTAAATTAATTCATAAAAATATATGTAGTTTGGTAATATGTATTTATAAATAAAAATATTTTTAGAAAATATTTTTCAAAATTTAATTCATTTCCAAAAAAATATTCCAAAAAAATTTTAAACCTCTTTTCAAAAATTAAAATTTATTTTAAAAATGAATTTAAATTTAATTTATCAATTAGTATTTTTTATTTTATTCCTGACATATTCAGCATGTCGTCGAGTTCCAACTGGGCCTAATCCCCAAAAAAATTAAATAAAAAGAAAAGATGAGATCTGATAAAACTTAAATTATATTTAATTTATTGTTAGGTTTTTATTTAATTTTGATAAAGTTTTAATTTAATTAGTTGGTTATTAAATATTTTTATTTTAAATAGGTATATTATTAGGTAAGTAAGATTCTAGAAAAGCAATATTTAAATAAAAAAATATTTATATAATAAAATTAAATTTAAATGCATATTTGGGAAAGTGTTGATATACCTAAAAATAATTACTGTTTTCGGGAATCTTTGGGAATTTCAGGATTCTTAAATTATTTGGCGAGGATTAATTATAGAGACTGAGGTTGAAAATTCAATTAAATTCAATGTAAATTAGAGCATACCTTTTGTCAGCAACATTCGAGACTTAGTCTTGAATCAAAACTTTTTGGAGTCTTTCTTGAATTTGGAGTGTAGAGTATCGGATGGCACGTTCCCTTATAGATTTATTAGAACAACAATAAGAAAGAAAAAATGTTTAGCCACTGGAAAGAGCATTTAAAAAATTAAATACATTTTTTTGAAGTTGATATAATAAATAAAATTAAAAAATATTTTTAATTAAACTGCTAAAACACACACACCAAATTCTGTCTCGCTATTTGAAAGAATAAAGATTTTTTTCTCAATAATTACGAGAAAATTAAAAATCTAAAATATGATATGTAATGTGATTATTTATAAAAAATATTTAAATTAAAACAAATAAACAAAAAAACAGTCTCCTTTAAAAATTATGAAATTTCTAAAAATATTATTTTGAGAATAGTGTTTTGTAGTTTCCTCTATTGAATAATACATACAAATAAAAATAAGAAATTTATTGAGATTTTTATTTTATTTTCTGACATCCGTTTAGGCAGATGTGTTAATAAATAATTTAATATATGATTATTAAGTATATTTTAGATAATCATACTACAATTTTAATTGTTATATAAAAATTAATTTTTAAAATAAATTTTTAGTTCAAAATTTAAAATAAAAAATTCCAAAAATTAAAAATGAAATTAATTAAATTATTTAAATTATTCTTTTTATTTTTAATTATTAAATATTCTATCTGTCATGAAGTTAATTCAGGATCAAATCCTATAAGCAATAAACAATCAAATAAGAAAAGTCCACACAATGGACATTAATTAATTAAGAGAATTAATGGAAGAGAATATTTAAAAAAGAACAAAGAAAATCTTTAAATATAAATATTCTTTTATTTAAAAGATTATTAAATTATATTTTAAACTAAAATTTATTATTTTTTTTTAATAATTAAAATTAAAATTATACATAATAATATTAATTATTAATATTTTGAATGGCATTAATTTAACAGAGCCCAATCCAAAGCAAAATTTCAATTAAAATTTAAAAAAAGAATTAAGCAAAACATTAAGTATATAGAGTATGAAAATTGAGAAATATATTCCCTATTAAGTGCCTAAGTTGAAAAAATCTGAAAATAATCAACTTAGGTCCGATTTTAAAATTCATACGTTGGTTAAAATTCTAATTTTTAAAAACTCACATTAAGCTGCAATTCATTACATCAAAAAATGTAATGAAGAGAAGATTAAGACTTTAAATGTTTTTATTTTTTAATAAATATTAGAGAAATTTTATTTTTTTATCATAAGCAGACCTCCTCTCTCTTCTATCATTTCTTAATTCCCGAAAATTTTGGGTAATTTGTACCCACAATTAAGATTTCTTTATTTATCTCCCAAAGAATTTTTTGAATTAATTTTATTTCATTTTATAAATAATTTTAAAATTATTCTTATTACAAATAAGAAAATTTTTTTAAACTTTTAAGTTATTTATTTTATATGTATTAAATCAAAACACACAAATATGTATTTATACATTACATATTAAATCTAAATCTTAAAAAAATAATTTTTAATGTTTTCACAAATATTTGGCAATTTTGTCTTAATCATGGGATTTTTTATTTGTCAACTTGTGAATTAAAATTTAAACAACTTAAAAGACATAAAAAAATTTGGTTAAAAAATAAATAAAAACATTTTTAAATTATGGAGGGGTAGGTGGTATTCAAAATAAAGAAAAATATACTCTAAGTAAATAAATCCAAAATAATTATATCTGTTTTTATTTATGTTAAAAACAAAAATTATTTTAGTGTTTTAAATTTTTTCAATAAAAATAAAAAAATTTTGTGTTAATAAAATTTTTTTTATGAAAAGACTATTTAAAATATAACAAATTTTCATTCTTCTCTTTAAAACAAATTTTCTTAAAAATATTTATTTAATTCAAAACAAAATTAAATTTATTTTTTAAAAATGAAATTACTAATTCAATTTATTTTTACAATAATATTTTTATTTTTATTCTTAAAATATTCTGAATGTCATGATGTTCCGGCTGGACCTAATCCTATAAGCAATGATGTTACTCCCTTTTGAAAATTAAACAATGAATTGAAGGAAAGGAAAATAAATTATTATATTAATTAATTTATTTATTCGATATAGTTAAAAATTAGAAAATTTTAAATAAAATATTTATTTGGATAAAAATTTTTAAGAGTTTTGCTAATCCTCAATTTTGCTTTTCTGTAGCACATAATATCAAAATTTATCAAAAAATTTTTTTCCAAAACATTTCCACAAAGTAAAAATTAATTTTAAAATTAAAAAATTTTTCTGAACAAAAAATTTAAAAAAATGTGGCAAAGTAATTTTTTATAAATTATAACTAATGCTCATTTACAAAATATTTTTAATGTACATAAATAGACAATTTTTAATTTAGTTATTTTCTAATTTGTGAAAAAAATTCCTTCACTATTTTAACAAAATTTTAAATTGTAAGTATTTAACATCAAAAATTATTAACAAAATTTTAACACAATTTTTGTTAAAAAAACATTTTATTATAAATATTTTAATTTAATATAAATAAATTAATAAAATAAATATGTAATAAAATCAATGTTCGACACGGTTCGGTACTCCAGCGGTCTCCCTAAAATACCGAGTAGGTATTTTCTGGTATTCCCGGAACCGGAACTGTACTGAACAAATTTTTGAATTTTCGGTACACATTCGGTATCGAGACTTTTAGGTACTCTTGGTACCGTCAGGGCCCGTAGAATAAATTCGGGGTAAGGGTTATTCAACCCCTACCTTGGGGTTAACTAACCCGTAACCCGTAGAATAAATTCAAACCCCTAGCTTCGGGTTAAATGACCGTAGAATAAATTAATTACCCGGGTTAAATAACCCGCAGGTAAGGGGCAAATTGCAACCCTACTAGGGGGCAGGGTAACATGCGAATTATGCATAATTTCCAAAAAAATTAAAACATTTATTAAATTGCAAAATTTTTAAAAATTTTAATTTCTATTCAAAACGCATAAAAAAATTTTTACCAAAAATTTTTTATTTTTTTTTAACAAAAATTTTTTAACAAAAACTTTTACAAAAATTTTTGAAGCAAAATTTATTCAACAATTAAAAATTTTATAAATTTTTTAAACTTTTTCATTTGACTATATCTCTTTTTAATAATAACAATTATTGCGTAAACAATT